AATCGCCGATTTTTAACGATTCTATCCGAATACGTGATTTCATGCCGTTCCTCTTTTATATCGCCCGTAGAATGCAATTATCAATGGTAGGTGTGGCCCGGGGAAACAATTTATCAGCAATCACCAACACCTGCTAGGAATGTTTTGAATATTTCACTTACGTTCCGAGAGAAGAAACCATAACAGAGGTGGAAACCACGCACGGTTCTAAAATTAAATCGCTATTAAATAAAACTGAAACTTCCCCACTGCGAAAATTATGCAGTGTAAATACCCTTTCTTTGCTATCCGAAGATGGACAGTCACAATCGCATACACTTCATTTCATAAAATTTTTATATTTTTTTATTGTTCATCCGCTGTTAGGCTAACGATTCTGTCAAACAACCAATCCATTAATTAAGAATTTGTTGATTTCAGTTCCTTATACAAAAAGAAAACTATGTCAAGCTTAATAAAATGGCTCTCTTCTGGGTTGTAGCGCTGTGTAGTGCCTTACAAGTTTACCAAAGTTTCAGAGGTTCTTTGCTTCTCCTTCATCAGGACGATAAGTGCAAAAAGAAAATTTAATCGTCGAACATCTTTGAGGCTACATAGCGCTACAACCCAGGAAGACAGCTATCTTATGAAATCTGACACAGTCTTCTGCACAAAGAAGCGAAATCAATAAACTCTTCATTAATTGATTGATTGACTGATTGATAGAATCGTTAAATGAACCACAGATAAGCCATCTTCGTACTCATCGCCATAAGAACCTTCAAATCTCACACGTGTCAGCCTCCTCTGAGGTCCAGAGGTCTAATAAATCTCTAATGGTGCTATTCTCTTGCTATAAAATCGGAATTATTATAAACAGAAATCTACTTTTCCCTTCACTACTCTCATTTACGTCTAACTATATACAAATATTTTCTTGTGGGCCTTAATTCTACTAAAGACACTGTCAGTTGCTCAGGCTATATAGAATCAAATATTACGATTTTTATTAAATAAAAATTGTAAAAGGACGGAAAATGAATCTTTAGTAGTCTGATTTAATTTATTATCTTAGCACTTGATGCACGGATTGCTTAACGCCATGAAAACCCCTGTCTACATAAGTCGGATTCGGAACCGAGATGCGAACCCTCGAGTCTCCGAATGCGAAGCGGGAATGACAACCACTGTCACGTTGTTTGATGGTTATCAGGAAACACAGGCTTTTAATACCATGTAACTTCCCCCTGATTTATTTTTAAAAACAGGGCCTACCGTTTAGAAATTCTTTTCTATTGCGTTCATGATGCACTTATCTATTATATCTAGCCTTCATGCCTATGTTCCGCACTTCAGCCCTATTAAGCATTATCAGTGACGGTGTAGTCCATATCCTATATTCGTTATGAAGTATTACTTTGTGTGAATTAGGGAAATTATTGACCAACTCTTATTTGAACAAAACATCGCTCGCCATATTATGTCATGACATGTTGGGTGCGTGACTGGTCACAATTTGTCTACCGCACCTACAGTCACGCTGGCAAATATACGTTCTTGAAGCAATTTTAAGGATGTATAAGTTATGTAACATAACCATCACGTCAATTCTCAGGCACTCTCGATCTGTGTTCCTTCATTAACGTGTCAGGCGACGTTTCACAACCATACAAAACAACGGGTAAAATTACAGCTTTGTACGTTTCAACCTTTAAGTTTTTGGGTAACAGACGAAAGGAAAAAAATATTCTGAACCACCTGGCAACAAGGGCTCACAGATTTATTACTTTCCTCGTGAATGCAATTTTGACCTTTAACGTAGTTCCCAAATATTTAAACTTTGATTTATCTTCAAAGATTTTACTCCTATTACCTACAAATATTAGCCTATTTTTTATTCCTGTACATTGGTGAAGAGACATTAACACGTACATAGTTTACTTCTGGGAAACCTCCTTATTAGCATGCAATAGAGCTTCTTTGGATTTGCTTTAGACATTCCACTGTTTTCATTCTAGCCATAACAAGCGTCATTTAAACTATTAGTAGCCAATACCACAGCGTTACTGTGTATGCAAGCTTCAATAAAGTCACTTCATTGTTTTCTGTCAGGTTGGTTCACCTGAGTATCTACATTCGGTTAGATCTCAACTTGTGAATGTACGTGCTTTGCGTTGCTATTGTTCTGAACTATATTCGATCTCTGTGACGCAGACAAGACAGAACATCCATTACAGGCCCAAGAGACTGAAACCACTCTCAACGACTTGCTCCCGGATGATTCTGACGATCACAGCGGTTATCAACGAAGGATTCGTGAGGCAGAACTCATGTTAGACTCACAACCTGTCACATGAAAGATACAGGCCTACTTATAGCACAGTATTTGACGATTATGACTAATAAGAATCATACGTTTCAAATAAAAATTTCCGAATCTGCATAACGTATTTCTAGAAATAGATTTCAGAAGTGTTCCTTCAAATTATGTGTCCATAAACAAATATCTCATGTTAACAGCATTCATCGCATTACAACTTGATAGTATTCACGTTGTACATTTTTCGACCTTCGGATAAGAGATCTGAGGTTTTCACGACCGTAAAAATGCCAATGTTAGTTTCCGGGTTGCAACGCCGCCTGGACTTGAAGGTAGATACCAATGTCTCGGAGGAATATGCTTACTCCATTTCCAGCGCCGCGTTTTCTGGAACGATAGTATCTACCTATTAGATATGCCTTATCTTCTGAGGGCATACTTGGTCTATCATGTAAAATAGAAGACAGAGTTTCCGTCTTACTCGACATATTTTATTCGCAAAGATATTAATATGACGACATGTTTCGACCTGCAGGGTCATCCTCAGGCCTTACCATTTTAGACACTCCAGACATTTTAACATTACATGTGTGATATTTTGTCTCACATTACTCAAGTGTTGTATCTGTAAGAGCCTGAGGATGACACTGCGAGGTCAAAACATGTCACCCCAGTAATATATTTTAATGTGAATCAAATATATCATGTAAGACGGAACCTCTGCCTTCTGTGTTAACTTTGTAATAATCACAATAAGATGCATAAAACTGGTAATGATACTTGTTCTATAGTTGTTTTCACATACCAGTTTCAAAGATTTATTCCACTTGATGTGATCACAATTCCCCGATTACAGTTGTAAGCTTACTGGGCACTTTTTGGGAGGCGCAAAACTGAAGTTACAGACGACACAAAAGGGCAGACTTTCCACTAGAATGCAGTCCGATTACTGGCATGTGCATTCGTGTCGCTGAGAAAAAAATACGCGTTTGACGGGAAAAAAAATGAATAAGTCTTCCTCAGATCTGAATTCATAGCGTTCTTTCACACAGTCGCAGCAGTAAACAATATTTATTTTACAACATTTTTATCCAAGAAATCCATGCGAATAACAACTCATATTTTTGTTTCCAAAACAAGGAGGTAGTCATATTGTTTGTTGATGCCACGGTATCGGATGTTTTTCGATAGAGGCGAATGTGTATCTATCCTGCACACTGGAAAATATGCCTTCGGCACTAGATTGATCATGCATGCACCCGTCTCAGTGTAGGTTCCGAAGGAAATAAAAATCATCCCCTTATTTCTATTATAGACGATTCACAACCACCGAAATGTAAATCTACATCGCCATTTGTTTCCGCAACAACTGTTTGGATGATAGTCGCGCCCTGACAACCGAATTTTAGATTATTATGAATATTGTGTCACCACTTCAATCTCTCAAATTTAGTTTCCATTTTATTTAACCAACTTTCACTCTTCTGTTACTCCGTACGAGCTCGTTAAACTGAAAAACTTAAACGTCACTGTTTGCATCTGCAGAACTTTCTTCGTGTGCTTAGAGACTTTCCTAGAATAACACGCAAAATTCGAACACCTACCATACAGAGAAATCCGTATTAAAAGTTGTCACGATACACAAAGATGAAAGTATAAAATTGATAAAGGAAATGAAGGTAGGTGGACAAATCGACACGGAGTTCATATCTCGAAAACCAAAATCCACTTATTCACCTCCAAAGGACCCTCAAATTCAAGCTCTGAATTACCGTGTTCTTAAATCGTAAAGACCCTACAGCCTAAGCCAACAAGAACCAGTTGATTTAATTGCTACCAACTATTCTTCGACTTTCTTGCATTACGTTCTGTAGAATATTATCATTTAGACTTAATTCTTAAAGTCTGTACCGTTATAAATTAGGTAAAATCATTTGCTCGGGGCGGGCCTGCTAAAATGTTATGCTACTTCATATTGGCATAACAGTCTCTCAGACAGCTTATACTTCAACGTAATCAATAATTCACATGCACCACACATAACCCTCTAAAGCCCAGTGGTAACCATACGTTCCACCTGCTTTAATAATCAATAACAGTAATTTACATACAGAGTAGATTTATAGGTTTCGTAAGAACAAAGATTACAACCATAATCAGTACTAACCATTTGATCCTTGTAACAGAAATTTTGTGGGGTTTTTTAGGTAGGGCTAGGTTTTTACCTATTATTTATATGAGGTTAGGCATCAATGTCTGTGTTCTGTGAGTGTGTTGCATTCTTACTATACCTTAAGAGAAATATATCCCATAACATTTATGCAGACACAGGAATTGTCTTAATTGATGAACGACATATTCTCACAATAAACATTTATCTCCAACACGTGTACTTCTGTATAAGTGAAAGTATTTTCAGAAACTGAGAGCCACATTTCTCGGACTGTAGAACAGGCCAGAATTAAATACTGCACGAAACGTCAGTGCATGTATGTTCCGAAGAGCGGGGGAGATTCCAAGGGAATGTGTTCTTCTGGAATTGTGTTCCACGGCTGCTAAAGCGTCGAGATTATCCAGCATGTAGGAACTCTGAGGAGGTGTCAGTCCAACATGTCAGGAGAAGACCAAAATAGTTCCTTCGTTACACGTTCATTCGCTGTTGAGTAGCGAGAGATCTTGACAGAAATACACACTTGTGTGACGTCAACAACAGACGCTCGCCGTCCTGGGTTAGTAGAACATCTACATACCTCGTTATGCAGATGGAAGGAGACTTGGACGCTACATCATAATGTGGTTAGTGATTTAATATGTTTAAAGTAAGGGTTGACTTTCTACCTAACGTTATAATTGGATTTTATTTGACTGTGCATGCCCTAAGAACTGCAAATAAATCTTGTGGGTGATATTTTAGAGTCAGCGTTGGTCTTCTGGGTTGTAACGCCATGAGGAGTTGTGGGTAGATATCAATTTATTCAGTTGTGAAGGCTGACGCAGTAAATTTCTCCGAAATGTTTGTATGTACGTACAATTTCACAAGGCGTTACTATCCAGAAAACCAAACACGACAGAACTTGTGTACCGAGATATGAAAGTAATATTAATCCAGCACAAAGCTGCTTTTAGGTACATAAAAACGCTCACCACATGTATTTGTACTCTGGGTCAGATATGGACATTAGCAACTATGATAGACATTAAATTTCCTCCCACATACGACTTTATGGCAAGCGATTAATCATATTTATAAGTACTTGTTCACATTTCGCCAAGGATATACAACCAAGACACCCACGTTCGCACTTGTATTTATTCATATTTTGTGATACCAGTTAAGGTAATTTTGGATCTCAACAAAACCAAATGGATACGCCATGAGCATTTCTGAACTAAGAGAAGAAACGATTTTGACTTTTAATTATCTTATTTATTCGGTACTGAAAAGGCTTATTAAAATCGTAGTATATATGCTCAAATGTGCACAGCTTGTATCTTACACAATTTCTACTTGATTTTTTTGTACAACGGAAAAAACATTCTTGACCCGAAGGGAAAAAGTTGGACCACCCTGAGAGAGAAGACCTCACTGAATTCAGTTTCCGCGAAAGCTATAGATCACAATTCATGAAAATGTAAGAACTCTGACGTAGTACACTTGTTTCTCTGCCGGTGGAATTTACAAGCCAGTGGCTGGGCAAGTTTCTCCAAATGTATAGCCCACTGCCTGGGGCTTCCGAACTTCTTCAAATTGCAACACGTTTCCAAAGGCAAAGTACAACAATCACTGTAATAATACAGAAAGCCTAATTTCTATCACTCCCATAACAACTAAATTAATGGCTATAGAGTGGGAAATTATGTCCTTCCATCCCTTAAACTTTAATTTAAAGAAGGGAGGTAGTGGAATCAACTGTTCATATGATTCCTCTTGTAACTTCTTCATGAAACAAGTTCTATAGAACTTGTTTCAACATAGGATATCGTCTCGAAAATACGAAAATTTCTGAAGTTTCTCATTCGCCCACCCATCCACCCTCTCCACACTTCCTCTCATCATCCCCCGAGGCAGTGCAAGCGGAAGTACTTCTTGAGTGTGAAGGAACCCGTGTTAACAAGTTTTAATTACAAAACAGACGAGCTGAAAATGTTCTTGAAACTATACCAAATTTTAATTGTCAGGTAAAATGATCAGCTATTTATACTGAGTTTGGAGGTGGATGGAATTAAGTTTGATGTGAACAAATTTTGATAACGGCGTATATTAAATTTCTGTCGTCGTATCGAGAGAACATAAAGTAACTAACCCTAGCAAAGGGGCGTGAGAAAACTAAAATTTCTAGAATTTGACTGCTCTTTTAAATCAAACATTCTCTACTTCTAAATTGAACAAAACAACCAAGTTTAAAAAAATTCAGTGAAGAATGTATTTTCCATATTCTGTCACACAATTCTATTCGGTCATTTAAGATTTATGTTCACTTATTAGTTTGATGAATTTTCTAAATTATAATAAATTAATTAAAATATATAATATCTACTGAGACTTAAGGCTTATTACAAAATTTATGCGACATGAAGCGGTTAAAGATATAATTCACAGATTAGAAACAAATCTGACAAGGAAAGAAAAGACTTAAGATTTAACTTTTGCAAGAAATCTAAATGGTATCGAGACACATTTTATGACTGAATGTTACACTTGAAAAATGGAAGATAAGATTTATGAGATAAATGATCAGCGTGACATATGTTAGGCTAAACAGACGATGTAAAGGAGTAGAACTATCGCAATAAAAACAATGTTTCATCACAAACTACCACTTACAATAAGAATATCTCGGTTAATTAAACATGATCAAGACAACGCAATTCTGTTGCTTATTCAACACCAGCGTGGTCAAACTGGCAGCCAGCGGGACACAAATAGCTCGAGACCACTTATAACCAGACTCTCCGAATTATTTTTTAATTTGTTATCAGTTACTATAAGATTTTTTACCCCGAAAGATTTAAAATAATCTTAATTTTGATTTCGTCTGCTGCTTTACATAGGTATAAGTGCTACACATGTTATTTACTTTAAATCCCTGCCGTAAAATGCAAGTTTTCCAAGTAAAAACAATTGAATAGGTAACGTCAGTGAAAAAAAAATTAATTAGTTTTCAAAAAGAGTGCCGACGACACCATGTTCGTTTTACATTATACTCTCGTATAACATATCTGTGTATTTTTATCATCTATTATCACATATCATTGTTGACACCATACGCAAAGTAAATGGCGTTTGTGTGCATACCATTTCACAAATTTGTTCCTCCGCAATGTTGGCATTACGAATATGACACCATACGCAAGGTAAATGGCGTTTGTGTGCATATCATTTCACAAATTCGTTCCTCCGCAATGTTGGCATTACGAATTTAGGAAGTTCGGAAAGCATAAGAATAGGGTAGCCTCCAACGGCACAACCCCTATACTAAATTTTAACCAAATCCGCCCAGCGGTACTCAATATGAATCATACGGACAGACAGACAGACAGACAGACACGGGCAGCCCTACATGAGATCGTTTCGTACACATCGTGCAAGGAATGCATAAAACCGTACATCAGTAAAATGTTTTTGTTGTTTAATATTCCACACTTTTGCTACCTTGCCGGGGAGTTGAGACAATCCTGGATTATGGCCTGGAGCGAGTACGGGAAGAAGCTTTCGCGATGCTTTTATTTCAGTATTCCAGCAATTGCTTGGAGCAGACGAAGAAAGTTACAAAAAGCTAAATGCTGTACCTGCAGAATACAAAGCTGGAGTGACTCACGAATATCTGCAGTGGGGCATAAGGTTAAAGATCCCTGTGAGTCTTCCTTTTAACCGCCTTTAACCTTAATTTTATATATTATGTTCCGAGAGAAGAATACTGAAAGCGTTAATAACAACTTTCAAAATACCAGCTACAAACATGAGACCCAGCCCGGAATATGGACGCAGTATGAACATCCAAATTCAACATGGTGTTGTAGGACAGAAGACCGAAATTATAAACTACAATAACATAATAATTTAATATATACTTTTCACCTCGGATTCCATTTTAATGATATCCACTACATATTTAGGTACATATAGCTTTATATAATGAGTCGTTCAAATACATCCTACACTGAACAAAATTATCAACAATTTTGAAGGAATACTTTTACCTTACAGTTATACAAAGTGTCCATTTTGTTCACAGAAGACATGAAATAAATTTGTTGTCGATGTATTGTGTAGATACAAGCTGTGTGAAGGACCGATGCACAGTCTCAGCACCCGTGACAAATGTCTAAATAATTCGTGGTTGAGGAACTGATTCTGAATTAGCAGAAGCGTATTAACTGAACAGACTAAATAAAATAAAATAAAATAAAACTTCAGAGGCCTACAGCTGTACAGAACTTATTAGAGAAGTCTCTCAGAAGACCTATTCAAAATATGCCTTTACATGGAGATAATCCAAACGCTCCAAGATGACCATCTTCTGGGATGTTCCGCCATGGGGGATGATAGCTCTGATGGTGGTGAGAATCTCTGAAACGTCGGTCAATTTCTACCACACTACACACATCCCAGAACACAGTCATCTCCATATTCGTCGCATGAGAAAATTACATCTCAATCTAAACATATATTTTATGTTTTCAACAGTAAAATTTTTATTAATTTATGATTTATTTAGCGGCGCTGTGATAGCTCATGCCATGTACACAGCGTCCAAAGATGAGATGATTAATGAATAAAATTTTTTAAAGGGTATGCAAGGAAGCGGTCGAAATCTACTTTAATTGACTATACCTGCAATTGTCTAGAAGGAATGAAGAAAACCACGAACAATTCAATTGGAATAACAGGTCTCCGAGCGGAATTTAGAACCCGGGACCTCCCAAATACGACGCAGGATTCATAAACACTCGGTCACAGCTTTTGATTCAGAGGATTTTATTAAGATATCCTACATACGCGCAGAAAGACAAGTAATATAAATATAAAACTTCTGTTAACTTCCTCCAGACGTGCTTAGAAATATTGAAGTGTTCTGCCTCATTATGCAGTCATTTAATTCCGCAATGGTATTTTGCGGGTAGTCGGTGGACTTAACACCGCAAAAGCCCATCAAACCTCGTAAACCCCAGAAAGCGGAACCATTTTACCAGCTGTCCTCTGTCATAAGATGGCCTAAAATTACTCTGATGAGAACAGACCTTCCAACCCCGTACCCCATACCCCACGAATTTAACGAATCCTTCTTCCATCCATTCTGATCAAAATTCAATTATAACTTTAATCTTCGCGGCCTACGCACGATGTCTGTGAACCTTCGCATGAGTTCAGGAACGCACTTGAAAATCCCCTTCCACTACGCCTATTTTACCAACTGTAACCTCTTTCCTCAAACTGTTCTCTTGGTTCTCATGACGACTATTTAATCAGCA